AGCTACAGCAGTAGAAGGCGTTTCAGATTAGACAGTTTGTACAATTGAAACGCTTCATGGAAAGTCCCCGAATTCTGTAAAGTGCGAAAGCGGCCTCCCAAATGCGTGAAATCTTACTTTCCTGTGTTGAATAACAGAAGTTGCGCCATCCAAGCATCATGGTGGAATTTAAACTGCGTATCATATCTATTACTGTGGAATTAACAGAAAATATAGAAACTATTCAATGAATACCCTTCCAACATTTGAATTCACTGCTGAATTTTTATTTAAACCGAAATCACATTAATTATTTTGTGGGCTTAATGACTTACCGAAACTTACATGAGTGAAGCTGTTCAGTGACATTACTACGCGAATTTAAAGGTCTCGGGTAATACCCTAGCAATTGTTCACCAATGACCCGTCTTTCCCTCCTTGAAAAGGAGAACATTAAAAAAAGATAAATTTAAATTGCTTGGTTTACAAAAAAAGTAAATAAGATCAGCGGTACTACAGAAACTAAGACGCGAAAACTGTTCTCTCCATTCGCTCGTAAATTACAGTAATTACAAAACCAAAATCTGTAAATTGGCCTTTTCGTGTCACCCTGTTTGGCAACGGAACACTCGCGTGGTATCAAACATTTGAAGTGCTGTGCGCCGCGGTGAGTGAATGGCCGGTCCGCATGCGCAGTGGTGGACGCGACGGCCAAACTGCCGGAGCCGCTGCTGGGCGGGCTGAGCCTCCACCTGGGCGACTACGACCAGTGCCTGCGCGCGCGCTCAGAGGCGTTTGCGGGCCGCTACTGCCTGGTGGCGGCCATGGGCCAGCGCGTTGCCACGTGCGTGCCTTCCACGTGCTCGTGGCGCTCGCTCGACGTGCTCCTCGCCAACAGCAGCGCCGGGGTGGTGCGTGTGCCCTCGCACACGTGCCAGTCGGCGGATGACCCCTTCGTCTTCCACCCCGCCACTGCCGCGCTCGGGTGAGCTGCTCTGCGCCAATTGACGCTTTGAAGAAACACTGTATGGTTTTGTGTAATTGTTCTTTGAGATAATTCCAGCAATCTCGCATCTCTTCTAACGAAAGAAAGGCAAATACAAAGTGGTGTGGAAGTTCGCTTTCACGATAATTTACAATTCCGAACCGATTCATAAAGGTCTTTGGAACGAGCTTAGTTCAAGGAGTAGAAATGCAGAGATATTTCGAAGGTTATTTTTAATTTTCGTTTATCGTCGGTATACATCAATAAATACTTCTTTAAGTTGGCATCTTGCATACAGACATTCTGTTTATTTCGTAGTTTGCTTTTTTGGATTTGGGTAAATTTGAACAGATGGAACACACGGAGCTCTTACTTTTTAATAGATAAAGGGCACTTCGCTAAAAATTTCGTAGTCGTTCAGACGTTGCGTAAGTACTTCAAATTCAAAACGAGCGTCAGGCTTTTCGGAAAGATGTGCATGAGCCATGTGCCGTGTGCCGTGTGATGGCAGGGTGGTGGTGCTGCTGGCCCTGCTGAACGCGCTGGTCTGGTTCCTGCTAACCTACGAGGACGTGCGTCTCAAGCTGCCCGCCCGCTGGCGGCCCTCGCAGAAGACGGCCAAGGCTCTGTCGCCCGTCACCGCCTGGAGGAAGATCAGCGGGGCGCCCGACCCGGACAAGCCGCGGGCCGCCCACGCACGCACCCCCTCTCCAGGGGCGGGGTGCGCTGGTGGCGCGCAGGCGGCGGCAGAGGCGGGCGGCGCAGGCGAGGTACGGACGCGATTCATTTTACCAGTGCTTTCAAAGTCGGTTAAATTATTGGTATTCGTATTTTTTATAAGGACTGCTTACTCAACGGATTAAATATTATTCATACAAATTAGAATTAAAAAATTGGCTCACCAATGTAGATTATAACGGTAATGAACTTGGAATTTGGAATAAGGTTCGGGTGTGCACTTCTCATCAGTCCTTCAAGCTGAATATCCTATTTAGTAATGGTGTGTCGGGTGTGCAATGCCTGCAGGCGAGGGATCCCGGCGACTGGAGCTGGGCGCTGCCGCGCATGTCTGCGGCCAGCGGCCTGCGCACCATCTCCATGGTGTGGGTGGTGATGGGCCACCGGGACGCGCTGATGCCGCAGCTGCCGGTGCTGGACAAGCGCGCGCTGCCGGAGCGCATGAAGCAGTGGGCTCACGTGTACGTGCCCGCCGGGCTGTTCGCCGTCGACACCTTCCTCTTCGTGGCCGGGTGCGTGCTGGCCTACTCGTTCGCCTGCAGCCGCCGCCGCCACCCGCGCTCCCTCCGCCAGCTGCGCTCCTGGCTGCCCGCCTTCTACCTGCACAGATACATCCGGTACGCCACACATGCGAAATAATCGCATTTACAATATGTTACTTAAAACTACGCGCGTTGCAGGGAACGATGGACGAATATTCCTTGGGCGGTAAAGTAGACAACACGAGCATTCTGTATTCAGACGAATCTCTATTAAATTGCTTCCGAGTATTATCCTTGTTCTTCCCCGACGTCGCATCTAGGACAAAATTGTTTGTGAAATGACTTTAACACTAAACTGGTGGACTAATTTAGCGAAACCTCTAATCCAATTAGTTTAAAATCAACTTTGTGTTGTCTGCAAAAACAGTTCTTCAGTTTTGATAAAAATGTTGTGGACAGTATAATCAGATTGAAAAATTTTAAATGTGCAAATGGATTATAACGGTGAACAATTTCATATAAAGTGCTTTAGGGCATGTTTCTTGAACATTTGTGTGCCACATTTCACGTGCCCCAAGGCTTTTCAGTAAAGTTGTAGTTTAATAGTTGAAATGAGTTTGAATCCTGGCGGTTTGACGTCGTGCAAAGTTGTTAACAGATACTTAACTCGGGAATAAATTGTTGGTTATTTCTGAAATGTGTATTTGGTACACGGAAAAGTACCTTCTGAAAAAGCTTTCCGGCCTAAAAAAAAGAAGTTTCATGATTCATGTAAATGTTAATTTGATAGATCTAATCATAGACGAATGTATCTACTTTAGCGAAGAATTGTTAAATCGCATTTTTACCTTTTTGTAAAACTTGTTTCAATATTAAACTAATGAAAAACAAAAAGCTCGTAATTACGTTTAATATAATTTAATATATTTAATTTAAATTGACGTTTCATAGCTGTTTACTTGGTAATATATTTTTTAATAGCATCAGTTTTTTCTACGCACTTTTACTGAAACATTTTTAATGAAATATATAGAACGTATTTAAAAAATTCAAATTTTGCAACTGCAAGGAAAGTGGATTTCTTTCTAAAGTATTGCCCAAAAGTCATAAGTTACGACAACGTTATTAGGTATTATTGTGAGTTATATTTAAGAAACTCTGCGCTAGAAAAGATTAGTTTTCTGCTTTGAACAATGTAGTTTCTATCGCCATTTAAAATTTAAGAACGTCAATCAGCAACCCTTAACTATAGGGACACAATCTCTAATAACGTCTGACCACGGTCAGCTTTTATTCCAATGTTTGTAATTTTTTTCTAGCCTATAAAACCTTTTAAAATCTCTCGGTTCCCAAACAATGTTCGGTCAGTTTTCCGGGCTACGAATAGCATGACTACACATAACCATCTACATCAGATACAGGATATCTAAAATTGTTTTCAAAACAAACATTCGCAGGTCACATTGAACTGCAACAAAGGTTTTTGAAATATTATATTTAGTATTGAGAAATTTTAGAAATATTTTCTCGAAATCAATAGTGTACATTGCAATGCTTCAACGGGGAGAAGCAAGGCAATGAAACTTTACACTGGCACCTCGATCTCCTTCCCCTTAGTGTAATAAAATAAACGAACATGCCAGGGAGACCGTAGGTCTATAATATACTGCATGCAAATTCGCAATGGTAGCACTTGACACTTCTCCAGAATTAGACCACTTATCATAGAATGACTGAAATATTTGTTTATATTTAGCATCATGACACTAGCAAAACTATCGTATAAACTATATAAAATTGAAACTTCCTAGACACAAATATGATAAACAAATGTGGAAAAAATTATTCATTTATCGCATTTTCGTAAAAGGTCCTCCAGAAAATGTAATATTATCTTGGTTATTATTTACTTGTCCCTTAATTTCGAAGTTGCTAGTAATTTTTTTAGTATTACTGCTGACCTGCAACTAAGACTAAAAGTTTTTATGGCCTATAAAGAACCCACATCTGTATCTGTTACAGGTTAACGCCTCTTATGGCATTTGCAATAGTGCTATACGCCGGTGGGCTTGCCTATTTTGGAGAAGGCCCTCTATGGGAACAGCTTTCGGCTTTTGATGTGCAGTCCTGTAGAACGAACTGGTGGCCAAACTTCCTTTACATCCACAATTACTACAACAATCGGAACATGGTGAGAACCAAGATATATTGTATGTAATGCAAAGTTTATATAATGTGATTTCTGAATTTGTCACCTCCTAAATAAATTTGCCGATGATCTCCGATTTATTCGCCTTCATCATGGCTACAATATTTGTAAAGGGACTATGACCGGAATATGATGTATATCAAAGAACTTGCTGAACCATTAGGCAAAACTTTAGAAAATAACATCAAAATTGCTTTCAAAATCCATATTAACCTGGGAACAAAAGTTCTAGAAAATAATTTCACAAAATAAAATGACAAAAACAATATGTATGCCTTACAGAAACTTCATAAGTTGAAAACTGATTACAAATTGGATAAAACCTGAGTTTATATAAACATTTAATGAAGAGAATCGCTAAAAATGCATACATTGTAAATTTAATAATGGATCGTGCACCCACACACGTTGTACGGAAGGACCTCGCGGTGATTATGATTGTTATTCACAATTGGTTTCTTGTTAGGTTATATACATTATAAATCACGGGTTAGATTTTTAGATTTTAATTATTTTAACATTCTTACTTTTCTTCATTTATTGAATTTGATTCCTGCTTATTTTCTCAAATTTACTACGGAGTTGGAAAACATTATAGTAATATTTAAATGGAATATTTTGTTCAGGTTTGATATCTTCACTTACTTGCCGTAACAAAGCATGAAATCAGTAATGGTACACATTTGCTGAATGTTTGACATAGGTTGAGCCTAATTAATCATAACGTGGCAGGTTGCCCCAAGGGGCTATAGTGTAGCTTGCTTATTTTATAAACTTGCAGACAAACGTTACAATTAGTGAAGATGATGTAAATGGTATCTTGACATTCTCTCTGCAAAAATGTTAATTTATTGTTGTAAACCTAGTTAAAGCAGAATTAATGGCCAAAACATCACTTTTTTAAGCTTTTTTATTCTAAATACGAAACGCATGCGACTTATTTCAAAGGGCAAGAATCCCTTAATATAAGTTAAGATTTTTAATTTCAGTAAATTAGACTTGCCGTCCCTTCCCGCAGTGCGTCGCCCATTCCTGGTACCTGGCGGTCGACATGCAGCTCTTCCTAATCGCGCCTCTGCTCTTGTTCCCATTGGTCGACCACTGGCACTCGAGAAGATTCAACTACGGACGTTGGGTGTTCGCCTTCTTCTTAATTTTGTCGATAGTAATTCCCTTCGTTTTAGTCCTGCTCTTCAATCTCACGCCCGCACCTAATCCGCTTGGCGAGTAAGTATTGTAAATGACAGATTTCTTTTAAAAGTTTACTAAATTCAGTAGTAAAATAAATTGAAATTCTAAAGAAAGTATTTTCACAATAGAATTAATCCTGATAATGAGTTACTACACACTCTTGCACAGGTCTGTTATCCCAATTGTGTGGTACTTAAAGTTCTCCAAATATTATGAGAGAATTAATTTCAGCTTATGGAATGTTTTTATTCATTTAAGACAACTCTTTTTTTTTATTCCTGCCAACTATATTTAATTACCGAGATAGTAACCAACCATACAGATGTACTTCATTGTTCTTGTGTTCAACAAAATTGTGTTGAAAACAACGTAAATTCTAAATTCCTTAACGGAATTAAAAATATATTAAAGTTTTGCAACGAATGAAAGTATTGAAGACAAAATGTTAAGGTATATTCTAAAAATTTTAGCGCTCGATTTAACTATATATCATAAAACGGCAGTAAAATATTCTACATTAGATATATTGGTAGAATCTAAAAATAACACTGACCAAAGCCGATGCACGATACACTTGAGAAATTCTTCACATTATAATATTCAGGCCCAAAGTTTTTTTTTGTTTTTCTGATAATTTATATAATTTACGATACTTCGTATGGGCCAGATCAAATATTCTTAATACAAAAAACTGCCCTAAATTCTACTACATAAAGTACAATTAATAGAAACTGCGTGAATAGGTTTAAAATATTATAGTTTTTAGGAAGTTTATATTTTTTCTAATTACGGAATTTCACCAAAACAAGACTGCCATACCCTTTTCCTTCAGACGAGGAAATAATGAAATTCAAGAAATTATGCGTAATAAAGAGATGCTCGAAACGTGTCACAGAAATGTACATTACACTTTAATGTTCATTAAACAGTAAATATTTTCAAACATTCGTGCTACTCACCAAAAAAGGTACGGCGTTGTGTTGCTTCCTAACGTTCAGTTGCCAATGCCGGTTTTTACCTTCAGAACTTGGCATGGTGGAAACACATGGTTGGTTCTATCGCATCCTATCTGACTTTTGCCAAGGAGCTTCTTGCACCAACTTCCTTCGCAGTATTAGTGACAATTTTAAATGCAACCGGATACCAAAATGTTAACCTTTTTAAGATCTTAGAATATGAAATTTTAAAAATATTTTATTTCAATTACTTTTTTTCCTTCAACTCTCTTCATACCACTTTCAAATAATTTCATAACGCTGTCTACATTCAAAATGGCTGCGAGCCTTTGGTCTGGCTCTTCGGTCTTGAATCACGTGGTTCGTCCCTCAAACTGGTGCTTCGCAGAACGAGCAAAATCGGTGCACGGGAGCCACCCATCTTTCCACCATGGAACTTGGATCGATAAGGCACGGCCTTTGTTTTGACTTTTGCTTTGTGGTGCCGGCAGCCAGCTGAAGAACCTGCAGCACGCAGAGCTGGTGTACATCCCCGCGCACGCGCGCGCGGCGCCGTGGGTGGTGGGCATGGGCGTGGGCGCGTGGGCGGCGCGCGTGGTGGGCGGTGGCGAGGCGCTGGGCCGCTGCATGGAGCGCGTGCTGTGGGCGTGGGGCGCGTTGGTGCTGCTGGCTCTGCCGCTGGCGCTGACGGGAGCGCTTCGCGCGGGCGACGAGCCCTCCCGCTGGGGCTCTGCGCTCTTCGTGGCCTGCTCCAAACCCGTGTGGGCGACGGGGCTGGGCGCCGTGTTGATGCTGTGCGCCACGGGCCGCGCGCCGCGCCTCAACGCGCTGCTGTCGTGGGAGCCGCTGGCGGTGCTGGCGCGGCTGTCGTTCGCTGTCTACCTGCTGCACCCCACCGTGCAGGGCGTCACGGGCTGGAGCACGCGCGGCACCACCGTCGCCACGGACGTCACCACCGTAAGTGCTCGTCCCGCCCCAACAGCACCACCGCTCCTCCCAGGGCGTGGTCTTACCGCCACTCCAGCACAAACCATTGACACGGAAGTCACCTCAGAAAGTGGTCGTACCAAGCAACCATACGGACGTCACCTTGTGCTCGTAAAAAACATTCGTTTTTAAAAGTCTACAAACATTCAAACAACTCCATCTTTTTGCGTTAATTATAGTTTATCAAATATTCTGTTCGTAACCCATTTGCCATTTGCCGGCTTTTGTAAAACGCCACTCATTTTTTAGATATGGTTACCTTTGTACTCACTCTTACCATTATCGATAGAAAAATTAAGTTTCAAACTTCCAAATATTTTATTTTGGGATCACAATCTTGGACTTCACAATAATAGGTTTTAGAACTGAAAAAGGAAAGTCATGCTACTCAGGTTAGATTATTCACATTCTTGTGGTGAACGTAGACATCGGTTACTACCCTAAGTCTGAAATGACTAACATTCTATTGAAACGTCTTAAGCTTTTATTTATTTATTTTTTATTAGAGTAGGATATTTTTTCTTAAACCTCCCTTTTGGAACCCTCACATTTCGTAATGCAACTTGTACGTTTAAAAATATCACTGCGTCTTGTAAATTTACTTTTACTGTGCCAATTCTTTATTAACCAACTATGCTGCTTATATTTATACAACTATGTTGCGAAAAATATGCGTGTTTTACACTCATATATAAGGGCATGGTCATTTCTTTCGCTTCATTATAGATTCAAAGCTGCTCAAAAGAAGTTGAACTATCCACTTAACAATGCCAGAAGATATTTGAGAAATAAGCGATTTGGATTCTATTCTTAATGGATAGGCTTAATCGGTTACTTGTGATAAAAGCTGCAATATTTTCACAATGTCGGGTTTAGAAGCCTATTCTTGTATTTGAGGATGAAATTTTAATTTTCCTCAGATTCCGTTGATCGTGGCCGACGTGGTGCTGACGTTCGCCGTGGCGCTGCCGGTGTCCATCCTCGTCGAATCCCCGTTCATCGCCCTGGAGAGTCTGCTGTTGCGGGGAGGCAAGACCGAGCGTCGGGGCTCCCCGCCACCACCCGCTCCCGACTCGCCGGAGATCCAAATCTCCGGGTCCATCGACCCCGAGAGCCCTCCGCAGCCGCTGGTGCAGCGCCGCGGGAGGCGCGCCTCGGACTCGGCTTGTTTAAACGTGTTCGGCTGTTGCAGAGATTGGCTCCAGTCCCTCCGTTCAAAGAGACGAGGGAGAGGGAGCACGAGCAGAAGTGTCAGCAGGAGCAGGAGTGGAAGTAAGTGCGACCCGGCCGAAGCGACACAGTCGCGCCCCTACGAAACATTGCACTCGGAGGAGAGTCGCGGCCAGCTTCCTTCCGCCAGCGTGGCATCGTTGCCCGTCGAACAAATCTTGACCAGCGAGATATCGTTGGCCGACGAACAGCCGAAGCCCAGCGAACTGCCGTTGAGCGGGCCTTCCGCAGTCTTTCCGACCTGCTCGAGTTTTGTAGATTCTAAGAGTTTCTTCGGTTCTGCTGTCTCCTCCTCTAGCGACGAGAGCAGGCAACACCCGTTCGTCAAGGGCGGCTCCTCGGAGACCCTTTGGCGAGCACCGTCTGGCGAGAAGATTCCAATGGAGGACAAGGCTCTCAAAGAGCACACGCCTGTGGCGAGGTCGTCTTCAGACGAGTCGGCGAAGACTCCACCGGTGACCCGGAGGTCACTGGAAAATGTGGAAGAGGAGGTCTCCACGGATAGTGTCTAATGTTGCCTCCACAAACAACGGAGGGGATTTCTCGCTTTGGATATGGTTACTATTAGGAGTTTACTTGAAGGCCTTTGAATTCACTTCCTATCCGAAAACTCAAGGCCTTGCTTAAAATTTTCTAATTTTTGCAATGTTTTGAAGATCAGTTCTAAATTGCGTTTCAGTGAGTTTTTTACTATCATGCTAATTTGTAAATATTGTTAATGTAAAAAACTAATTTATTATACGTGTGAGAACGCGTAGAATGTTTTAATCATCTTTCAAAGATGTCTTTACAGGTCTTTTTGTATATTACAGAAATATGAATACCTGGTGTATTACATATCGAAATATATTGTTTCTAAGCACGTTCAAAGTGTTTGTGTCCTCAAAATTCCAGCCGCAAGATATAGTGGACTAATACCACTATGCAACAAATTTTAGTTAAATTTCTAGTTTCTTTTTAACTTAATTGAAACTAATCCATAGAAAAGTTATACCTCAAAACTTAGCTTTTGTGACAGTCATAATATTTACAAAACTTCAGTTAGCATTTGTCTGAGCGTTTGGTACATTTTCAAGATTTTTCTAAGTCGCTTATTTGAATACAAATTACTGCTTCAAAAAGTCTGATGCCAATTGATTTATCAAAGAAATTTAAAAATTCCGTATTTTCCATCGAAGCTAAATTGCTGTAGTCACGATATCTCAGGATCGTAGGCACGGTGATTAGGCACCTAAAATGCGTAACAATTTCGAAATAACACCCTATTAGACAGGAAAAGTGACGTTTTAGGCATTGTTACAAAATGTTAAACCATGTAAAAGATTAGGCAGAAAGTTTTGACATCTAAAAATGCTCGCAAAGGATTAAATTAGATACTTTATATTATACAGTAAAGTATTTTTAGATTTGAGAGAAACTACAAATTATTTTATTCACTTTCAGAACTAGCAGTACAATGCATAATATTTTTTCCAAAATGTCTACAGTAAGGTTGACTTGTCTGTTTCATTTTGAAAGCTAAAAATGACTTTCCCTGTGACAGATTTATTGGAGCAAACAAAAATTTAGTATCTCATGCTTATTTCTTCCGGGACTTCTTCATTCCCCCCCCCCCAAAAAAAACTGTATCACAAGCCCATTTAACCATTACGCCGTACTTCCGACAGTGTTTGGCCCGACAGTTTTTTCCTCGCAAAGATTACCGCGACGATAAGCTTCAAACTGTCAAAAGCGTAGCTACACCAGGAATGGGTGGAATTGCCAAAGAAATGTGTGCTGATCAGGGACGTGAAACATCTTTACATTAGGGAGTTTGTGGCACCTCCAACGTAGTATTTGCGTTTCGTAAAATTTGGAAAAGTATTTCTGTAAAACAAATTTCAAAAACTAGTAATTATAATATAGTTCTTCAATATGACTTAGTTTTAGGCAGTTTTAAGCAAAATTATATTAAAATATGCATAAACCACCCTTCTAAGACATTGTAATCGCTATTAGATGCTTCTAGTAAATCTATTTTTTCATGATCCGTGAACTTCAATTATTTTTCGCAACATCCTAAAGGAACTAAATATACATTTGTCCTAAAATCCGAGGTCTAGTTATGAATGATGAACATGGTGAACTGGTTCATCAAGATATTGCTACAATGGAGAAGAGATACCAAGGATCCTGCAATGGTGGAAGATTATTGCTGGTTTCTTGTCAGAGTAAACAGGAATACAAGAAAAATGACTAGGAGCAAAGCATTTTTAAGCAATGCAGTTAGAATTACTCTTTTCAAGATGTTTCAATTTTATTGCACGAATATGTGCATGTGAATATGCGAAATTGTGAACATGCACTTCTCAATTTAGAATCAATATTAGTAACTCGATGATACACATTGAATCTTTTTGGAATGACAGTCTGACCAACGGACTTTAACGACATAGTTATAAACGTGATATTTCTCATCAAGAATAATTATGATTTATAATAATAATGATAATAATTAATAATAATAAAAATAATAGTTCTTAAAAGCTCCGAGATGGAATATATGGCGTATCCCCAAGAGCCATGATGATGGAGCTTACTGGTTAGCAGAAGAGGAAGGGAAGTGTTACACAGATATAATAAATTCAGTCAGAAAGATGCAGAATTGGAAAGCGCCAGGTACGGATGGGATTCAGAACTTTTGATGGAATTATTTCCCATGTACTCATGCGGTTCTGGTCAGGTGGTTTCAAGTTGCATTCAATGATCCAACTATCATTCCGGCGTCTTTTACTGAAGGGGTTATATTTGTGATAAGTCTAGCGATCCAAAGACTCCGAATAACTATCAATATATCACATGTCTCTTCACAGTATATAAGATTTTTACATCAGTGCTAGCCAGTGTGTTGTATAAAGCCCAATAATCTTCTGGCACCAGAACAAAAGGTTGCAGAAACGATGCTCAAGGTTGTAAAGAATTATTGATAGTAGACGGTGTTGTAGTCAATCAAAATAAAAAGAAAGACACATATCTGTAGGATGGATTGATTATACCAAGACCTTCGACTCGATACCTCATTCGTGGCTTTTGTATGTTCTTCGCCTCTACAAAGTGAATGCCCAGTATGTGAACTTAATCCAACACTGCATGTCAACTTGGCGTTCAAAGATAAGTCTCATTCGCTTGAGGCAGCTATACCACCAAGGAACTGAGTATCAAACGACGAATTTTTCAGGGAAATAGTTTTAGTCCCTTATTGTTCTCGCTAGCTCTAAACCCTCTCAGCAGAATGTTAAGAGATTCAGGGATGATATATGAAATCACTAAAAGTCCCTATATCTCAAATTGTATGCCAGAGATAAGAACCAGCTTTCCTCGTTGCTTGAACTTGTTAAGTCCTTTAGCGACTCTATTTGTATGGAGTTTGGCATTGATAAATGCGCAGCAGTGCACGTGAAAAGAAGGAAAATCCTTGTTCCTGACAAACCCATCCTGATGTGTGGCTCAAATATCCAAGAACTGGGGCAAAAGGATACCTATAAATATTTAGGCCTGCACCGACTTTGACCACAAGTGAATCAAAGATGAGGTGTGATATTAAAAATAAAGTTGTTCAAAGAGTCTCAGAAATCTGTAAAACTCTTTTAAATGGAAAGAACCTCATATCAGCTATCAACACTTGGGCAGTACTTGTCCAGTGAAGAACACCAAATGAATAGACAACTACAACTTCACTGTAGGAGCTTAATCGAAACGTACGGGCCACTTTTACAAAGTATTGAATGCACCATCCCAACAGTTCAAGGCAAGACTATACTTATCTCGGAACGAAGGAGATAGAGGTATTCTGGATTTTGAGTATTTGTGTGCGAAGCAAATCAACAATCTTCGCAAATACTTCATCCAGAAAATGACGGTCATACATGAAGCAATTTGTGCCACGGACAAGAATTTTACCCCACTGAACCTGAATCAAGCATACTCTAAGAGACCATGTATCACGAAAGAAGGTTGAGTGAGTGGACCCAGAAGCGTTTGCACGGCTAGTATTCTGTTGAGCTCAAAGGAAACGCCGTAAATATGGGATCGTCAGTCTCCTGGCTAACAAAATCTAGCCTCTTTGCTGAGGCAGAAGGGTTCGTCATTTCTATTTACGACGAAGTAACCTCAACTCGCAATTACCAAAGGTATGTAATCGGGGATATGAGTGTAGAGGACCGCTTTCTCCGTAGCAATCAACCCGGCGAAACCCTCCAACACATCATGGGCGGGTGTTCTGCTTTAACGCAAACAGAATACCTGAGCCGGCACAGCGACGTTGCTGCGGTTGTCCATCAGGACCTGGCTGCAAAGTAGAAGATGATACAGATAGAGGTTCCATCGTACAAGTTCAAGCTGGATTCAGTTTTGGAGTCGAAACGGTGGAAGCTCTTTTGGAATGTAGCAGTCACCACTGATTGCAGGGTCGAAGCTAACTGAGCTGACATAATACGGATTGACAAGGATTCACGGAAGGCGATTATAGTCGACATAGCTATCCCTTTAGACCGAAATATAGTCGCCTCTGTTGTCGAGAAGAGGCGAAAATATCAGGCTTGGCTATTGAACTGAGCGGCATGTGGCAGTTAGTATCTGTTAAAGTAGTCCCTGTGGTCATCTCATCAAATGGACGGATCTCTGAAGAACTACTTTCATCGCTGGAAGGCTTGGCCTTAAGAACTGGCACATTCAAACAATGCAAAAGGAATGTTCTCCTGAGTACTGCACGCATCGAGAGGTAGTTTTTATTGATATACCTGACCGCCCGAGTTTGCAAGCGAAGCAGGCACCTTGGATCCACAAAGGTCGCGGTGTCTGCTATAGGCACCTCGACAAGCGAGAAATTTATAATAATAATATTAAATAATAATAATTTATAATAATAATAATAATAATAATAATAATAATAATAATAATAATAAACTGATAAACTCTTGGTAACGAAAACTCACTTATATTAAATTGCAGAACTATGACTCTATAATACAAAACTTCCGGATGGAAAATCTCAAAGAGGTACAGCATTATTGGTTACACAACATAATATCAAACATAACGAAGAACGTGCATTTCGAAATAAAGAAATTCAAGAAATAACAACAGTAGAAGAATGGAAAGAACTAATAATATTAAGTGCTATATATTGTTCTCCCCGATGCAATATAAAATAGACGCGATTTGCAACCTTTTGCAATTGTCTTGGATCTCGACTTAGTATATGTCTTGAGGAGATTGAATGCCAAACATGAACTAAATGGGGATCGAGATGCCGTGAACAGTAGAAAACAGTAATTTTCTTGCAACTAGAAACCTTTTCTACAGAACTGTTCTATTGACCAGTTGGTACAAGCAAAATACCAGAGATAATTGATATAATTGTAACTAAAAGATTCTCACGAGGTTACATGTTTTCTGAAGCATCTCAAGAAATATCAGATCATTCGCCCATCGTAATCACAATAAAAGAATTATTTTGAGTCATGTACCGGTGATCCTTGTAAATGAACATTGATACTGAAATCATAACTTGAACACCGGCATTCGAATGCCCTTAAAAGCAGATGACAGCGAAAAAGCTACTGTAATTGAAAGCATTCAAAAAGGTGACCCGCCACAAGACGAATTGAAATGTA